AGAGAGAGAGAGAGAGAGAGAGAGAGAGAGAGAGAAAGAGAGAGAGAGAGAGAGTGTGTGTGTGTATGTGTGTGTGTGTGTGTGTTGAGCATTTTGTTTTGAAATCGCTGCGCAACCTAAGGTTTTTGAAGGATTTCGGCGCGCGCGCGACGACGCGCGCTTGTGCGCTTCGTCATACTTGTACGACGAATTCTCGCGACTGCGCGCGCGCAAGGGCGTTCGAACGATTTCGACATGCGCGCGCGCGAAACCCGTTTGGTAGCATTTTTTGAACATGCTCAAATATTAATGGTTTGAAGAATGTCCGTGTTGCGAAACTATGTGCGCTAGATTTTGAAATCGCTGCGAAACGAAGGAGGTTTTTGAATACTTGAGAATGCCTTGCGGCCGGTGACGACGACGACGACGGGACGACGACGACGAGCGCTCTTGGGGGCCTCTTGGGGGTAGTTTGTGGGCCTTTTGGGAAGCTCTTAGGGGCCGCTTGGCAGCCTCGTGGGGGCCTCTTGGGGCTTCCTGTGGGTCTCTTGGAGGGGGCCTGGGACGTCTTGGAGGCTTCTTGGACGGTCTTGAGGCTATCTTGGGCGTTTTCGGCCGATCTTTGGGCCACTCGGGGCCCTCTTGGGCCGTCTCGGGGGCCATCTGGGGCAGCCGGACCTCATTTGAAGTGTTTTCGAGGTTTCTAGGCCGCCCGAGGAAAAGCGAATCTGCCCCCCCACCCCCCCCGAGACCCCTCCCCGGGACCCCCCCCGGGATCCCCCCCCGGGACCCTCCTGGGACCCCCCCGGGACCCCCCCGGGACCCCCCCCGGGACCCCCCCCGGGACCCCCCCTCCCCCCCCCCCGGGACCCCTCCCTTCCCCCGGGGAAGGGATCAAAGGGAAGGGGCTTCCCTTCGACTCGATTACGACACTGCTCGATTTTTCTCTCGCTCGCGAGTTTGAGAAGGAAGCTGCAGGGAACGGGGACGACGGAGGCGACGACCGACGGAGACGACGACTCGAACAGCCAAGCCCCTCGCACACGCCGACAGGGTCGGCGGATTTCGGCGTGCGTGCCCGACGACGCGCGCGTGTGCACTTCGTCCCGTTTTTTGCAAGGCAGTCATAAAAACTTATGGTTCTTGATAAACTAGTGCGCGCTGCGCGCGTAATAACTTTTGCAGGGGATGGTGGGGGGGGGTCGATACCGGCTCGGCTGGGATGGTACGAGTTCGTATTTCGGATGGACGATGGGGCAAAATCATAAGTACATTGCAACACAAAAAAGTGGGCCGATAGAGCTGGGTGCGGTGGGGCGGTGGATCATATTTTTTTCGTTTCGAAAAGAGAATTCACCTTGCCGAATTTGAAATGGTCAACTCCACTGCTCGCGCAACCATCCCACCCGCCCGCCCGCAACTTGGTTTGCGAAGCCCACGCGGCGATGATCGGTGTTGGCTGGTGCATGGTGCATGGTGTTGGCTGGTGCATCTCTGGTGCCGCGCTAGGCCGCGCGTGCTCTCGCGCGCAGCGGCCAGCTAGCTTGGCGCGATTGAACACGCGCCCGAAGGCTTTCCATGATTCTGCGCTGACCAGGGAACATTATAGACTGTTCTGGTTCCGGGGCGTTCCAGTGTGGTCCAGCAGAAAGCGCCCCATCACTCCAGGAGATTTTAGAATGTTGAAAAGAGCCGCCGATTTTTCAAGGACCCAGAAGGCTCTAGCGCCCGAAGGCCCCAGAGTGCACTTTCGTTTCAGAAATATCCTAGTGAATTTAGAGTGGTTCCCGTCACTACCCAGGAGGCTGCGGCGGGATTATATACTGCCTTGGAGGGTTCTAAACAGATCCAGAGGGCACTCGGGTGCTTTCGGATGCCCTCGGGGACTCGCATGCGGTTGTGAAAAAGGCTCTGAAATAGTTTTGTCTGTGCCAGCAAGGTTTCAATCCTCCCAATGTTCCAGGAGACATTCAACAGCCTCTCGGGTGCCCCCGTGGGCTCTCGACACTTCCAGGAGGTTTTGGGCGTTCGTTAGGGGCGCTAGAGGGTTGTGGTAGGTTCTCGGGAGTAGAATGTGTTGGAAGGCTTTGCAGGTTCCAGAGGGCCCGTGGGTGCAACCTACTGTTTTGCACAGCGCCGCTGGGCCCTACGAAACCGTTTTTTGTTTGTTTGTTTGTTTCCGGATTCTGAAATGCTTTTGGGGCCCCACCATGTTTCTGAATGGTTCGCAGGGTTTTGGGGTGTTCCAGCGAACGGCTTCAGAGCGGGAGGTTCTTTACGTGTTGGGGATGTTGTAGAGGGCTTTACAGAGCTCGGGGAGGACATGAAAGGCTTCGTTGTTCCAGTACCTGACTGGGGGCCGCAATGCGTTTGAACGTCTGGGTGGTTCTCGGCAGCTCTTCATCGGGTTTCCAGAACCATCCTGGGGGCTGCAGGAGTCTAGAATGCTCCAGAGGGCTCCGGGCATTTCCAGAGGGTGCTTGGGTGCTTTCGGGTGCCCGCGGGGACCACTCTGCGGCTTGAGAACCCCCGGGAATGGTTTCGTCTGCATCGGATAGCTTTCGAATCCTCGCAGGGCTCAAGGAAAACGTCCAACAGCCTCTCGGATGATCCTGTGGGCTCTCGAGAGCTTTAGTGGTTTGGGACATACGGTAGGGCCGACTGGGCTACAAGCTTGGCAAGGTTTTCGGATGCTCCAGAGTGCACACAACTGCAACCTGATGTTTTAAATAGCGCGGCTGGGCCCTTCGAAGCGCTTGGGTGCTCTAGGGCGCGAAGGCGAAGGGATAGGATGAGGCGGATTAACAGTGTGTCTCGTTTCCTCCGCCCCGCCCCCCTCCTTCTCCCCCCCACAAGAAAGACTATCACGAACAAGATTGATCATACTAAAACGAAAACGAACATTGCGAATCATACTAATCAGACGACTAACAACAATGATATTCAGCATACTTATTATCTTGATATCCATAAGAAGACGAATTATAATACACTTACCATGGGAACTAATCATAGTTTGAACCATGAATACCCCCATGAATAACACTAGACAAACTACTCGTAGTCGCCGTCGTAGTACTATGAATAAGTGCGAATACTTATCACCATGGGAATGTCAAAAACCAGGTAGTTTTTTTAGTCATACCACTCGGATGATCATAGTACAGAAGCACCAGCGCACACACACACACGCACACAAGCGCTTCTTTTACTGTTTCTTGGTATGGGGGTGATACGAAACTTTGGGTGCTCTAGGGGGCGAAGGCGGATGGCTGGGAGGAGGCGTAGTAGTAGTTTTTCGTGTCTTCCCGCCCCTTGCAAACAACATGAGTACAGCAAAAGCAACGAATCGAGCAAATAGCTCAGCCAGTCACGCTTGTTGTTTTTGGTTGTTTTTTTTTGTGGGGCCTCCAAGCACCGCATTTCTGTTCGGGAAGGGGGGGCGTCCCCCAGAACAAGGGGTGGAACCCTCCTCCTTCGGGGAGCAAACCGACGACGAGGAGGAGGAGGAGGACGACGACGACGACGAGGAGGAACCCGCGAAAGAGCACGCAGGACGTGCGCGTGCACCGCCGACAGAACGCACTCGAAGACGCACGCGCGAGCTTGCCGTGAACATCTCGCGCGCGCGCGCCCTCGACCCCGATGGGGCTCCACAGTCCCCCGTTCTCGCAGAGGGTGTGTGGCAGGAGTGCGCTCAAGTCGGGGCTATCCCCCTACGGGGGGATTTTCGGCGAAAAATTAAAGATACACCAAACATAGTCCAAACATAGTCCAACAATCGTCGGGGGACTATTTGTGGGGCATTTTTCTTTTTGCCATCCTGGAATCTTTTCGGAGTATTCTTTAATCCTTCGTCGAACGTCCCCCTGTAGGGGGACACGCCCGAGTTAAGAGTGCGGGGAGGAGGGGGGAGGGAGGAGGGAGGGAGGGGCGAGGAGGGGACTTCCGAGCCCTCTGGGGAGGCCTGCCCCTCCCACTTTCCCCCCCCGCTCGCCGCCCACTTTGGCGTTTGGGTGGGCTCTGGGTGAGTTCCTGGGTGTGGCAGGAGTTCGCCCCAAAACGCTGCAAGAGGAAACCGTTCGGGCTCGGCAGGGCCTGCTGCGCCGCGGGGTCCTTCCACGGGGCCGCTCCTCCAGCGCCCCTCGTGCACCCCGCGCGCTGCCGGGGGCCAGAGGGGGGTCCTTGTTATCTGGTGTCCCCTCTGGTCGCGGCCTGCTCCTCCTCCTCCTCCTCCTCCTCCTCCCCTCCTCCTCCTCCTTCTCCTCCTCCTCCTCCCCCTCCCCCTCCCCCTCACCCTCCCCCCCCCTCCTCTCCTCCTCCTCCTCCTCCTCTCCTCCTCCTCCTCCTCCTCCTCCTCCTCCTCCTCCTCCTGGTGTCCCTTCTGGTTGCTTGGCGTGGCTCCGTCCGAGGGTGGGCAGCGGATGGCGGTGGCTGCGGGCGCGGTGCCGCCAGTGCCGGGGCGCAGCTGCGCGCTAATTGGGCCGCGTGGTCGCCCGAAGCAGCTTGGTCCGGGTGCAGCCAGGGCCCCTGGGGAAGGGGGCCCGGTTAGTAGTAGGGCCCCAGAGCGCCTGAATTGGGCAGAATCACTAAACCAGGTCTGCCGTAGCTGGTGCTTTTTCGGGGGCGGGGGGGGGGCGTCCCCCAGTACACATTACACAACCAGGTCCCGCTAAACCCAGTCCTGCCAACGCCCGAGCAGTTTGGAGTCTGGCTCTGAGGTAGCTTGCCAGGGTGGGGGTGCAGAACGGCCCTCCCGCCTCGAGACGGCAGCCCTGGACGCTGTCCTGCAGCAGGGCGGGTGGACGTATCTGCCCCCATGAGCCGCAGTACTTGCGGAGAGGCATCCTCCGCCCTGCCCCCCTCCCCTCCCCCTTTTGCACGCCGAGTTTGTTGGCTCGGCCGCGGTCTTCTCCCCCGCACCTTCAGTCCCGAGATTCACAAAAAACAGGGCTTGCTTGTAGGCGCCTACTCCTTCCGAGCGTCCTGCTACCCTCCCGTCGCGCCGCCCTGGAGGAGAGGAGCATGACGCGTGGCGTCGGCACGAAGCACTGGATGGCGCCGGAGGTCCTCGCAGGCACCAATTACACCGAGAAGGCCGCAGCAGACTGGCCGACGTCGTCGTCTCGGAGGAGTTTGGGCGTTTCTGGGAGGTTTCGCCGCCACGTTTGGACGCGGGTCTGCCCAGGCTGGACTGAACAGATTTTGGTGGTCGTTGTGGTCGTTGTGGTCGTTGTGATTGTCGTCGTCGTCGTCGTCGTAGTCGTCGCCGTCCTCGTCGTCCTCGTCGTCGTCGCCGTCGTCGTCGTCGTCGTCGTCGTCGTTGATTCAGGGGCAACGACGGGGGGGGGGCTTGGCCCGTGGGGGAGGCCTCGGCCCCCCCAGTACGACGACAAGACGGGCCCCCGAGATCGGCCCAATGACGTTTCAGGAGGCCCCCGTGAGGCTTTTCCTCCCCCTGCTCCTCCTCCCCCTGCTCCTCCTCCTCCTCCTCCTCCTCCTTCTCCTCCTCCTCCTCCTCCGCCTCCTCCTCCTCCTCCTCCTCCTCCTTCCCAAGACGGCCCCGACGGCCCAAGACGGCCCCAGGACCGCTCCTGAGGCGCCCACGACGGCCCAGGAGTCATCCAAGGCAGCCCCAAGAGCGGCCCAGAGACGGCCCACAGACGGCTCCGAAGCGGCCCGGGAGGCACCCAGGACGGCCCAAGCGCCAGGTCGGGGCCTCGGTGCCCCGACCTGCCCAGCAGCGAGGGGCGTCCGCAGCGCAGGCCGGCGGCGGAGTCGGGCCTGCCCCTCTGCAGGAGGTGCATTCCCAAATAGCAAAACACAGTCTGGGGACGATGTTTGGAACCTTTTTGACTCGTCTCGAGCATTGTTTGGATTTGTTTTGTACTTTTCGCCCCAAATCCGCCTGTAGGGGACATGCCCGACCGAAGCCTGCTGCCGATCTGTCGGCGGGGGTCGCAGATTCCAGGTCATAGTCCCCCCCTGAGCCAGCACTTGCTCATCCTTCTCTCAGGCGATCGCAAACATGGATCAAGGGGGCGTGGATTAGCGACGGGTCCCGTTTCCATGGGAGATCGCGGATTTCCGTCGCCGATCGAGGCGGCACCGGCCGCATTTTGGGGAGAGCAACTCCCCCGATCCATGGATTTGGCCACCGCGCGCCTGTCCATGGATCGCTAATCCATGTTTGCGCGCTCCCGATCGTCTTCCACCTCAAGGATCGAGGTGCGAGGGGCGAGATTGTCACACGTTTCCGATCTTGCTCTGGGCCTCTGGGCCGCCTTCGTCGCTGCCACGGCAGGAGCTGCCTCGAGGTTCTGGTCAGGGCGCGCGCCATGGCAGGTCCGGGGCTTGGTTCTTGAGGGAGGGATGAGGAGGAGGAACAGGATGAGAAGCATGAGGAGGAGCAGGAGGAGGAGGAGGAAGAGGCGGAGGAGGACCAGCGTAAGCTAAGGACTCATCAACGATGTTGAAATAAACCCGTCCTCCAAGCTCACGTTTCAGAGGCACCTGCAAGGATTCCTTACCACTGAGGGAGGTGCCCCGTTGGGATACAGCCGCTTGAAGTTCCTGAATCGTGCCAAAACACCATTCTCGGGACTCCAGCGCCACGAATCAATTTGACTGTTGCGTCTTGTCGATTCTGAATCGTGCCAGAACCTCATTCCTGGGACTTCAACACCCCGAACTAACGTAACTGTTACGCCTTGACGCCCGCATCGTTTCAAAACGCCGTTCTGGTACGTTGACCATTGGAACCTGTGAAACTCTTGCAGATGGTTAAGACGAGTGTGCGCGGCGCAAAACCGAGAGCCAGATTTTGAAAATGAGCCGCCCTGAATCCGTGACTCTCTTGCAGCTGTTTAAGACGAGTGTGTGCGACGCTAAAGCGAGAGCCATATTTTGACAAGGAGCCGCCCTCAAATTGTGAAGCTCTTGCAATTTGTAATGGCGCCTGTGCGCGGCGCTAAGGCGAGAGCCACATTTTCAACACCGCCCGCCCTCCAACTGTGAAGCTGTTCTCAAGCTTTTAGCCTCAGGATCATAAACGGTGAGGGAATCTCGGGCGAAATGCCTGGCCTGCCTTTGCGACGAGCCTCGGGGTGCGAAAAGGTGCCGCACTGTCAGCCCTGCTCCGTCCCTTCCCTTTTGGTTTTCCAGAGGTTGCGCCCTCCCCTCCTCTCTCTCTCTCCCCCCCCCGGGGAGCAGGGGGACCTCGCTGCCCGGCCTCCGGGGGGACTGCCCGTCGCCGTCCCCAGACTAGTTTTACAGATCTGTTGGTTCGATCAGCGCCCTTCAGGGGCACCAGCCCCCGGGGGGAGCGGGGGGGCCTGCGTCGGATCGACTCCTATAGCCAACAGCGTACAGCGAACAGAAGGAATAGACTGAGGGGCAGGATTGGAGGAGGAGGAGGAGGAGGAGGTGGAGGAGGAGCAGGAGGAGGAGGAGGAGGAGGAGGAGGAGGAGGAGGAGGAGGAGGAGGAGGAGGAGGAGGGGAGGAGGGGGAGGAGGAGGAGGAGGAGGGAGAAGGAGGAGAGGGAGGAGACAGAGGAATTGAGGAGGATGAGAGTGAGGGAAGAGGACTGCGGGAGGAGGAGAGGAGAGAGGAGGGAGGAAGAGGAGGAGGGAGGAGGAGGAGGAGGAGGAGGAGGAGGAGGAGGAGGAGGAGGAGCAGCAGATGATGAGATGATGATGATGATGATGAGAGGAGGAGGAGGAGGAGGAGGAGAGGAGGAGGAGGGAGGAGGAGAGGAAGTGGAGGGAGGGAGGAGAAGGAGGAGGAGGAGGAGGAGGAGGAGGAGGAGGAGCAGGAGGAGGAGGAGAGAGGCAGGGAGGGAGAAGGAGCGAGGGAGAGGCACGATGAGTGAGGGCGGGGGACGAGGGTCAGGAGGCCCCAGATCGCAGTCCCGTCTGGCTCGCGTCCTCTCGCGTTTTGGAGGGCGGCTCGTGGCGTGCTCCTCGCCGTCGACCGATATATCTCCAGCCAGTGGTCGGGGCGGGGCCGCGACTGGTTTTGGAGGGCGGGGCGGGGCCGCGACTGGTGGATCTCCAGCCAGTCCGCGCGCCGGCGCCCCTGTTCGAGTCGTCGGCACTCTCCCTGACACGCACGCGTCGCTGACAGCAGCACGAATGGAGTTTTCGCCTCCCTCCCTCCCTCCTCCCTCCCTCCCTCCCTCCCTCCCTCATGGAAGGTTGTGATAAACAGTGAAGGAGGGGGCGAAGGCAGAGGGGGGGGGGATGCAGTCGGGGCGCTGAAGAAGAAGCCTTCTCGTTGGGGAGGGCTCGGTGTTCCTTGTTGATTGTTTTACAGTCTGCCCTGGGCTTGCCTGAGGTTTTCCATGGGACATCGACTTTTCACTGATAGGAAAAAGGGGCCCCGTTCCTTGTTCAGGGTTCCTTGGGTCAGCGCCCCGACTGTGGAGGAGGAGGCGGGTGGGGGGGCCGACTCGGCCACCAAGGAGGCCAACTGTGCCGCGCCTTTGCCGGTGGCTGCATCGCTCGGGCCTGGCGGCGAATCCCAACTGCTTCGGTCTTTGCGCACGTCGGCATGAGTGAGTCGCGTCTCGGTTCGAAACGTCTTCGCAGAGGCTGAGCGCACGCCGTGGGTCAACATGCATCGCCGGCCAGCCCATCCTCATATTCTCTTGCCTCAGTCGATCCCCATTGCAGCGCAGCCCAGCTCTGTATTCAGCCTTCGCCTTAAGATGTAGCCTTCATTCTCCCGCCTCTCCCCCTCCTCCTCATTTCGTCCCTTCTTCTTGCCCTCCTCGTTGCACTGTGCGTCTGTGTGCTAGACTCAATGTTCGCCGTGCATGCGCCAAGCTGCACCTGCCACCTTGCCTTGCCCTTGCTGGCTGGTGGCGACCGCACAGCTATCGCCTTCAGTGGGCGCCCTGGGGGGCGCCAAGTGGAGTGACTGCGCAGCGGGATCCAGACCTGGGACCTCGCTGCCCCTGGGTGCTTCCGTGTGAGCAGGCGTCGCCGCTGCTATGCGCCCTTGGGAGGTCAGCCGAGCGACGTCTTAATTACGGGAATCCAAATGAGATCTTGCCCTTCGGGGTGTTGCCAACGGCACACGTGCTGCATTCTTCGTTAACTCCGGGGACGTGCAGCGGAGTGACGATTCCGATTAAACGGGACTTCGCCCTCGCTGGCAGTTGCACAACCGTGGCCGCTTTCGTAAGCTCTTGGGAGTCCCAGCGGAGGAACGTCTTACGGGGATCCAATCGTCACGTTGCCCTCCCTGGGTGCTGCCAACGTCGCAACTGTTGCCGCGTCCGTGGGTTGTTGGGATTTCCAGCGGGGTGACTTTGTGCAGGGATCCAGAGGTTACCTTGCCCCTCTTCCCTCGGTGCTGTTAGTGATTTTAACGAGGTTTCGTCTTTTTTGGGTGTTGCTGATTTTGCTGCTGTTGTTTCCAAGTGAGCAAGTGTCGGCGCTGTCGTGAATTCCTGGGGGGTCCATCGGAGCGACATATTACAGGGATTCAAACGTCACCTCGCCCCCCCCCCTGGGTGTTGCCGACGGCGCAGGTGTCGTGGCCTTCGTGAGGTTCTGGGATGTGCAGCGGGGCGCCGCTCTGTGGGGATCCAGACGAGATCTCGCCCTCTCTAGGCGCTGCCAGGTGCGCAATGGCCGCCGCTTTCGTGAGTTCCTGGGGGGTACGACGGAGTGATGCCTTACGGGGTTCCGTGCGTCGCGTCAGATCCCAGGGTGCTGCCAACTGGACAGCTGTTGCCGCTTTCGTGAGTTCCCCACGCGTCCAGGGAGCGACGCCTGACGGGGATCCAAACGTCACCTCGCCCTCGCTGGGAGCTGCTGGTGGCGGATTTGGTGCCGCTTTCGTGGGCTCCTGGGAGGTCCAGCGGTGTGACGGATTACGGGGATCCAAAAATCACCTCGCCCTCCTTAAGTGCTGTCAACTGCGCATGTGGTGGTGGTGGTGGTGGCGGCGGTGGTGGTGGTGGTGGTGGTTTTGTGAGTTCCTGAGACGTCAAGGTTGCGACGCCTGAACGGG